CAGTGTTTGTCGCTGTTGGCCGACACCCAGGATGCAGTTCACTGATTTTCATGTCATTTGTAGTAGTAGTAGTAGTAGTAGTAATAGTAGTAGTAGTGGTAGTGGTAAAAATACTAGTGTGTGGTACAAGGAAGAGGTCGAGCTCTCACCACCACTTCCTCATTCCTCGTGGCTCGAAGGATGGAGACCAAACGGAAGAAGCCGCGCTTGACTGCATCATCACCATCAAACACCTTAAGAAACTGTTTCCCTGTACACACATACACGCACACACACATACATTGTGAAATCTTGCAACAACTTCCTCTTCAGAGACACTGCAGGTGAGTAAGGTAAAAATGTTAACTAATTGTAATCAATGTCCAGATGTTTTCATGACTGAAAACTACTCTCTTAATGTCCGATGTCTGCTGCATCATCATCAACATATCCCCCCAAATTCAGCCTGATTGATTTAAGATCTTTACTGAAATCCTGCAGTGTGTTGCTCAGAAAAGCTCTTAAAAATCTTTGTAAAACTTATTTGGACCAGAATTCAATAATTATTAACTAATTATATAATAATGATAATATATGTGAACTGACCTGACTCTGCAGCAGCCGGCTGACCGTCTTTAGACACAGCAGCAGACGCATCAACATCATCTGAGTTATCTGAGAATAAGAACATGGAGGGAAACACAGAGGAACAAGGACGGGGCATTAATTAATAATAATAATAATAATAATAATTAACACATCATCACACATCTCCAACATCTGGAGGTACGAATGAACTCAAGCCCGTTTTCTTCAAAGCAACTTAAATACAAGTGTGACCACATTAACTGAATATAACTGAGGCTGTGTGTTGTGTGTATGACAGTTATCTTATCTATTCTCATAACTGTTTTTAATTATGATGGTTAAATAAAGGACAAGGAAATAATATAAATATAGTTTAATAGTATAGTTTAAATATAGGAATTTAAAGGGACAGTTTGTCCCAAAGTTTATAAAACAAAATTCATAGGAAGTTCAGAGGACCCAGGATGCTTCCCTGTAGGACTCCACAAATTATTGAGGACAGAAATAGTGTGTTTTTCAAGGAACATCTTCAACATCCAACTGTAACAGACAAAACATAATTTTTAGAAATTATATTGGAGAGAATGCAGAAGTCTCTACGGCCATACATTACACTTTGACTGAGAGAATAAACCACACATACAGGCCTATTTATCATTGTTAAACATTTGCTTTCACTTTGTAATATTTTACCAATAATTAAAATTACTTCTTAAAGGGTCAGTTCACCCAAATCACAACAAAAACATGTTTTTCTAGCTGTTCCTGGTAGAATCTCACTGTGCAGTTTGTTTCTAACTAACTAAAAGATCTAAATGTACTTTCAGTTCTCTGCGTGCCGAGTGTTCAGACATTAAACCTGTTGTCAAAAAACTGCCTCACAAACAGTCTTCATCGTTAATGTCAGTGATGTTGTGAAAAACATCATTTTTAGTTTCACAGCTCAGACGAGCGAAGCTGTCAGGAAATGAGCAGAGTGTTTGTGGTTCACGCAGTTTGTGTCAGCAGCATCGCAGAGGATGTGGTTGTGTGTGTGTGTGTGTGAGTGTGTGGTTGTGAGTGTGTGTGAGAGCGTGTGTGAGTGTGTATGAGTGTGTGTGTGTGTGTGTGTGTACCCAGGTCCTGGCTGCAGCTCTCGGTGATGCGGTAGCAGTGCATCTTGCTGAAGTTTCTGGAGTCGAGGCGGACGCAGGCCGGATGCAGCAGCATGCAGCGCAGACGTCCCAGAGTGCACTCTGGTGGCACGCTGAGGTAACACGCGGCATGGCTCTGCAGGGACAGACAGGCAGATAGAACTGATCAATAATCAATCATTTAGACATGTAATCTGGGTGTTTAATGTGGCTTTAATGTAGTTCTTCATGTTTTATCCCTTTTTATATCCAGTTTGGGGCCCCTGTTGTCGGCTCCTGTTACCTCCAAGTTCCAATGAAGTCGTAAAGACAACAGCTTCATCAAATTTCACATGTATCATATTTAACATATAATATATTAATATAAAACTGGAACAGAGCCTTAATTAGTATTACTGGTAAAACCGGTATTTACCCTACTAAATGGCTGCTGTGAGAAAGGTCTTTATCACCTCCTTTATTCTGTCATCTAGATTGTGGTGAACAAAACACGACTATTTAGATAATAAGAGGCTTTAGTCTAAACTATAAAAGAGTGAAGGACACACCCACTATCCCCGATGACAATCATTGGCTGACGTAATAACACAGAACTGTAATCTGTATTGTGATTCATTTGGTACAAATTCCTCAACAAATGAGCAATATAAACAAATGACCACAAACCAGTTGACACACAGTGAAGTTGGGACTTCTGGGGCCCCTGGAGGTCTGGTAATCGGCCCCTGATTGCAGCATTATCAGGACTGGTTCTTACCGTGATGCCGCACCACTCGCACCTCATCCCCGCCAGGACGTCAGACGAACCGCAGGACCGCCGACAAACCTCACACCTCGCCGCTGACGCCAGGTTACCCTCCCTCCAGTGGTGGTGGAACGTATCCTGCAGACAGAAAGTAGATCCAGGGTGAGAGTACTGAAACAGGTTTACTAAAAAGCTGAAAATATTTCCTCCTGTTTGTTTGATAAAAACTACAGAGAGTAGCTGCTTCATTAAAACGTGAAACTATATATCTGTGACATAATGATTTACATCCTCAGCAAAAACCAATGAGCCACAGACAGGAAGTCAGGAAGTATTGAGAGAAATAAATCAAATATCTTCTGATCGACTGAATCTTGACGACTGGTTTCCCTCCACAGTCAGTGACCTGGGAACCAGTCTGACCCAGTCTCTGCTGCTGGTTTCCTGCCATCATCAGAGCTTCACGCTATTGATTTTAATCAGCGGCTGCGACCGATCGATCAGCTCTGATGGATCGCACACACTGAACAGAGCTCTTCGTTCAGTGGAAGTCTTTGATTAAACAGTGTGTGACAGCAGCAGGTGTCAGTTGATCAGCCTGACTGAACTCTGATCAATAACAATCACATTAGTCATTAATACACACACACTTACAGTACAATGTTTTCACTGTAAAGTCCTCAGCAGCAGGTCAAAGGTCACAGCTGTGGGGATTTATCAGCCAGGTTAAAGGGTCAGGTGCATGTAGGTGTTGGTTATAGCAGTTTAGCTGCTGATTGGACGAACTCAGTCAGTGGGTGGCGCCGCAGCAGCGCCACACGGCTCATGGAGGTTTGATCCCGAAGTGCCTGAAAGCGGAGCGGCTGAACCAAAAACTCAGATTCCAGCTCAGTTTTTTTTTTTTTACTATGAGCTACGCTAACTTAGCTCATAGTAAAAAAAAAATCAAGATCAATTCAGACTGTTTACAAACCACCATGACGTCTTTATTTCAGCATCATTTTATCAGTTCATTGACATTAAATCACAAACGTTTATTTTACGCTCATACCGCCATTGCAAGCTGGATTAAAAGGGTAATATTTGCTTTTGGTGGGAGCCGTGCTAAGTTTATCTATGACTCAGTGTGTGATTAGTTTACAGTAACACGAAACCTTCAACACGTAGCTGCCACAGACTCAACATGACGAGGCAGCATGTGGACACAGGGGGGCGTGTCCAGAGTTTTCTGACCGCGGGTGGCATTAAGATTGTGTCTCAGCTCTTCAGTCCTACCCAATTTATACAATTCAAACACTGTTTATGGGCCCCAGTCTGCAGAAATACTCAATTACACTAAAATAACACGTGTAGAGACTCGTGGGTTCCCATAGAATCCATTTTCATTCAGATA